TAAATCGTGTTGCCCAAGGTCTAGAAAAGTAAGTTATCCCTGTACACTGCACTGGCAAGACCATTACTGGAATATTGTGTCCAGTTCTGGTGTCCTCATTTTTAAAAAGCTATTTAACAACCTGGAAAGGTTTCAGAAAAAAGTTACAAGAATAATTTGGTCTGGAATCAATGCCTTATAGTGACAGATTTAAGAAAGTCAGTTTATATATATAGTTTAACCAAGAAATTATTAAGAGGTGACTTATCACGGTCTAAAAGTACCTACATGGGGTAGAAACTTTTGACAGTATCTAGCAGAAAAAAGGTATAATGAGATTCAATAGTTGGAATCAGAAGCTATGCAAATTCAGACTAGAAATAGGGCACACCTTTTTAACAGTGAGAGTAATTAATCATTGGAACAATTTACCCAGGAATATGGTGAGGTCTCCATCACTTGATGTCTTTAAATCAAAACTGGATGTGTTTCTAAAGGATGTGCTATAGCTCAGACAAGATTATGCAGAAATCACTATGTGATGTTCTATGGCCTAAGATAGTCTGGAGGTTAGAAATTATCATAATCATCCCTTCTGGTCTTACAATTTTCTCCAAAAATAAAGGAATTTCAACAATTTAGTATATAGATCAATAATAACTTGTTTGTTGAGAATCAAAAATACATGCTCCAATGCAGTGAACAAGGAAGACTGGGTGTTCCCTGAGCCCATGAAGTTCAGAATCTACATGAGAAATCAACATGATGGAAGAATCTTCCAAATAAATGTATTGAATAATCTTCAGTAGTGGTGGGTTTTTTTGTTTTTGTTTTTGTTTTTTAATAAAAGCTCAACAAATGAGACAGGTACAGAAATGCAAGATACTTGCAAATGTCAAACACACTTCTCTATCAAAGTCAAGTCACAAGTTGGGTCAAAATTTCCTTTCAGTGAGGAAATCTTCATGCTGGGCAGTTGGGTATGCATGTGAGTTACATGTCATGCTTTCTGTCCAACAAGCTAATAATTTTGAAGGCATGGTATTAGCTGGGTTGAGTAGCAGTGGAGGAAGACAAGTACAGAAAGAAGCAACAGGCAAACACAGGTGACTATTGTAGATGCAATAGGTGATGTGGACAGGGCACATGTAGGAGTATATGGACATGGGACAAAGGGGAGGGAGACCAGTGCCCTAG